CTTTGGGGGGCTCTCCCGACGGCACTCCGAAGACCCCGCGGGGAGCCGGCGCCGGAGCGCGCTCCGGGAACTTTTCAAAGGGCTCGAGTTGCGGGCCGTAGACGGGAGAGCCCAAGACCTTGAGGGGGACGCCGCCACCGTACTTGACAGACGCCTCCTCCGCGGCGCCCGGCGGCTTCGGCCGGAACCCGTTGCCCCGACAGTCGCCGTTGTCCGTTGCGGGATAGGAGGCGCCGTCGGCCGCCGGGGCCTTGGCCGGCTCGTAGACGTACTTGCGGTAGCGGCCCTCCGCGCCCTCGTCGGCCGCCTTGCGCTTCAGCGACACGCCGGCCTCGGCGCCGGGAGCGGCCGCCTGGAAGCTGTAGGAGGTGGGCGCCGGCCGGGGCGGAGCAGGCGCGGGCAGGGGCGTGGGCGCCGCCAGGCCAGAGGTCAGGTAGGGGGCCGGGGGCGGGGCCGGGGGCGGCGGGAGAGCCCCGTATCCGGGCTGAGCGGCGTAGCCCCCCGCGGGGTAGTTGTACAGAGGCCCCGACGGGCCGTAACCCGGTGGAGGCGGGGGCTGCAGTAGCGCGGCGGGGGGCGGCGGGGGCAGCGCGGCGCCAGTCTGCGCGCAGTAGCCGGGGGCCAGGTACCCCCCGCCGTAGCCCGCCGCGTACTCGGGCGCCGCCGACGGGCCCCCGCACGCATTGCCGGCGTAGAGGGGTTCAGCTAGGTTCCCGGATAAAACCGGCGAGCCCCCGAGGCCCCCGGAGCCGCCCCCACTGGCCGACTTCGTTCCCGGGAGGCCCTCGTGGAGTGAGGCCAAGGGGTAGGGGGGCTCGGGCCCTGGCCAGGGCTCGGGGTCCCCCTTGGCGCCATTGAGGAAGGCGGCGTCGCCATAGCCGCCCAGCGCGGGGCGCTCGTAGGGCGAGTCCAGGACCCCTGAGTACTTCTCCGCGTAGCGCTTGAGGAGGTTGGAGGCCGTGAGGGCAGAGATGTCGTCGTGTGCCCAAGCATAGTGGCAGCGCTGGCGACCCCCAGGGGGCAGCTCCAACTTGTGGGCCGGCGACGGGGTAGTGGAGGAGACGTCCAGGTGCTGCTCTGGCCACTGGTTGAGGGGCTGGGCGTGTTCCGGTGTCCAGTGCATCTTCGACAGAGCTGCGGGCGAGAGGGAGAGAAGCGCCTAGAGAGGTTCCGCAGAGCCTCTGAGGACCCACCACCCGCCAGCCACAGGCCAGGCGGCTTGGATGGCAGCTTGGAACGGGCTGCTCTCCACCACCCACCGTTGCACCCTCCTGGGCCACCCTTCTCCAGGCACCAGCTACACAGTACTTGCCTTGCCCGGCACGTTCCAGGATTAAAGTTCTCTGAAAATACTTTCCTCAGAGAGATCTGGAAACGATATGTTTGACCCTAACTTCACCTTAAAGGCAATATGATGATGATTTTGTCCCAGCCACGGGAGCGCTGCCCTCTAGAACACCTGGTCCTTACTTCCAGCCCTAATGGAGTCAATGGTCAGTCGATGGGTGAGACACCCCACCCCTGGGAATAGTCAAATCCAGGTGGGGCTCAAGTAATACATGTTACAGGCGCTAGGCATTACAGAAACACTAGGTTTGTATAAAGATGAATGGCCCCGCCGTTGGGTACTCTGTGCACCTCAGCCCTCCCCGAGGTTCCAGGGCCCTCTTTGGGCCGGAAGTCAGAGATTCCAGCGTCTGTAGGCAGTGCCTCATGGTCCTTAGGAAACCCCAGTGGCTGACCCAGAAGCGTTCACTTCCTTTCCGCTTAGTTTCAGTCTCTGCTTCATGAAGTCAGAGCACCTGGGTTCCAGATCCATCCCTGCACACGCTCGCTGTGTGCCCAGGCAGGCACTGCCATCTGCCTCATTCCCAAAATGTGTTTCACCACAATGCAGAAGCGTTATTTAGAATAGACAAATCACATTCCAGAGAAGAGGGGGGACAGTTAGTACACGTCATGGAAAGTGCGTCACAGATTTGTTTCTGAGCTTCCCAGCAACCAAAAACACGTTTCAAAACAAAGAGCACCAACCAAAAACGTTGCTGGCATAGAAATCTTGGAACATTTTTTCACGGACCTCAGGAAGCAGACCTGCGAGATGTAATAAATAGTGTCCTCTTAGCCATGCCATAAACATGGCAGAAATGTCCCCCACCCTAGTCCTGAGCACCAGTCAAGGCATGAGCCAAACACTGGTTGGTAAAGGATTCGGGACCGGGGGAACAACTCTTCCCAGGCACATGTCTCCAATGGGCTGGCCTGATCTGAGGATTAAATTTCAAAGGTGAAATGGGCCCATGGCATGCCAGAGACCATTTTGATAATGATTATTTCTCAAACCTAAGCTTTTGATAAGACATGTTAAACTTACAGGTTCAATATTCTGTCTTCAAATTTTTATTGAGCGAATACTAAGTGTTGTGCCAGGCAAAGGGGCAGAATGAAAGGTTTAGACAAGGAGACCACATCCTTTATGAGGTGGGAAAACAGAGGTGTATGCCAGGGGCTCTGGGGCTCAGGGAAATGTGCGACGCCTGGCTAACAAGACCTCAGCAGGGAGGAGGTGTCTTTACTGGACCTTGAAGGGTGAGGGACCAAGTTGGCCAGGCAGGCCAGAAGGTTCCAGCACAATGCATTCAGAAAGCCAGGGCTCTGTTAGCGTACTCGCCCTATTCCCTTCCTCAAGACACTCTACTGCCACCTTCCGGAAAGTTGTCATAATCTACAAATCTACTGTGTCCATGGGGTGAATCATGCCCCTTGAGAAAGGCTTGTGTTCAATGTGCAGCCTGCATAACTCTATACACTGCAAGCCTGGAGGGGGTACCAAGGAAAGTTGGGTCACCAGAGCCTTGTAAGTGGGCGTGGCGGGGGGGAGTGGTAGAAAAGGCTGCAGATCGTCAGGTAGCTCTGGGGTTCTCTTCAGTTGCCCTTTCTTGCAACTGCTTGTTGGCAGCACGACCTCTGTTGATGTCACCACCTCCTACAGCTAGGACCTGCTGTCAGCAAGACACTGTTTGAAAGTAAAACTGTATTCTCATTCCCATTCTCATTCCCACTGCCCTAAGTACCCACAGCTCATGCCTAAGTACCTAGGCATGAGCCGTAGGTACTAAAGCTAAAAAGGGAAGTAGACCTCTTTGAGGTGGAGAGGAGAGCCCGGCCACCAGTGGCAAGAGGTTCAGAGCAGAGTCGGCAGAACTGAGTATGAGGTCCCTGGAGGGCAGATACGCATCTCTCCAGCCCCTGCTGAGAGGGGTCTCTGGAGAACAGAGGCATTACCTAGTGTCAGAGGGGGTAATGTCCTGGGACATCAGAAATCACAAGTGGTTCTGGTTTGCAGGGTTATACAAGGATGGAAACTCAAGGTTCTACCAATGCAAATACTATGTTGTGACATGGACCCCAAACCTGTTTGTTTTTCTATTCTCTGTTATCTGTGCTTTGTCTTCTTAATATGG